TTCAGAAAACTTACCTGCTTTCGTGTGGTTGGCAGCATCTCAGTACTTGAAGACTTTTCCACTGCGATTGGTGGTCATATTAATGAATGTAATTTTTAAAATATATTGTACAGTGAAATGTTCAATTGGAAGATCTGCATAACTCGGTGAACCAATATTTTCCAAATGATCAATGCACGATGTTTAAAGAAATCACGCATGGGTTAAAGATCCCTTCAAAGTGCAAGATAAATCAGTGGATTTTGATGTTAACTGAGGAGGGAAAGTTCATTGATTTCAGATCCCATTGCAACTAACCTTTAAGAAACTACCATTTCTCGAGTTTTGGTGTAACATCAAAGAAGGATACCCACAAATTGAATGCAAAAATGTCAAACAGTGCTGCCGTTCTCACTAATTTTTTTTGTTTTGGAAAATATAGTTCATTTTCATAAAAATATATTAGCATGTAATAGGTTTATTATTCTCTTTAAATGAATTAATGTTTGCTGAATTTCTCTGTTTTAGTTTCTAATCTGGTAAATACCAATATATATATAACTCACATAAACAGAAGCTTTTTAGGATTCTCAGTTTTTAAGATTATAAAGTGTTCTGAGACTAAAAGTTTGAGAACTAGTGTTCTATGTGATAGCAAGAATAATTACTAAGGAGTCTTTCGGTGGGCATAGACTTGTATGGGAACTCATACTTGTGATTACTTCATACTTTGTAGTCTTTCTGTGCACTAGAATTGCTGTTTACAGCAGTATCAAAATATTTCTAAACGCTATTAGTAAATAAAGCTATACTGACAGTATAAAAGTTTTCTGAAGAGGTTTATAATTTATTATTTTCTAGTGACAAAATTAATGGGAAAAGTTTCTAGTGGTCCTTAAATAAAAATTATAAGATTGCTAAGTCAAAATGTTCAGCCTGAGTCCAGAGATTTTAGACTACCCAGCTATGTTATATATGTGTGAATAAATATCAAAATATGTGGAGAGAAAAAAATATTTTCTGATATGGCATATTTATGTGTGTAGTGAAAGTAAAAAAAAATGGAGCAAAACTAGTCATTCTCTTATCATTGATCTTAAATTAGTGGCTATAAATGTAAACCTTACAGAAGCAATATTTATTCTAAGCAGGAAAACTACCAAAATGCTTAATTAAATCTCTAATACTCCAGCCACTGGTTCTTACGTGGGATGGTGTATATTACAATTTTCCAAGGAGCTATTTCACTAGCTTCTTCCTCCCTTTACCATTTCTATTTGAGAACCTTCAATCTAGAATTTTTATTTAGAGAAAGATTGGGATTACTTATTTTAATCATTGGCTGTTTAGTGAGAGAAGGATTTCTAGTATTACTAAAGATTTAGAAGGATTGTCTTAGTACTGTAGTGGTGGGAAATCCGTTTGTTTTTGTTTTTTGTTTTTGTTTCTTTTTTTTAAATATACCTCATGGGAGATGACAGGTTTACTAAAACTGTAGTGTCTGGTGGCATCCCCCTTTCCTATCTCTGCATGCCCGAAGGCTCATTCAGTATGCCTTTAGGAAGTGACTTTGGCAGTTTTGCAGTAGTAAAATTTTTGCTACCCTCGGAATCTTTTTAAATTAAATATTTGTTCATAACAAGCATTGATCTACTTCTGAAATAACTTCACTAATAAGTATTCTCATTAATAATTTCTAAAAATTTTCTCACTGTGACTTTTGCATATATCATGTGTTTAGCTGGAGTCTTTTTATTTGATATGAATTTAACTCCAGGGCAAACTTAACTGTGTGTTTTCTCTATACTCTAAGTTTTAACATTGATTGTTCTTTCTTTTGTGTCTAAGCCATATGATATAGTAGGGTTATATTGAATTGTTCTTATTAAAGTAACATCCTCTTTTAAGGTAAAAAGGAGCCTGTTCTGAGGAGTTTGAAGTATAAGTCAAAAGGAAAATTTAATTTTTTTCTCTTTTTTTTTTTAAGAGCCAGGAAATGTCATTTCAATTCTTATTTCTTCTGAGTTTTTGAAAATGGATTCATTAGTAAGTATTAATTTAAAACCCCAAGATCTTCTATTTACTTATGCTTTTTTTTCCTTCAAATGTCTAGAAAATTCTAAGACATCTTACTAAAATAGTTAATTCAGTAGTGTGATTTTATTAGAATAAACTGCTCCTGTTTGAAGGTACTTTGTTTTGTTGGGAAGGGGTTTTAAAGACTAATATGTATCATTTGTGTGTTATGCCTATAAAGCAAACAATCCTCAAGGAATAGTTCACTATCGTATTTGATGAAATTAAACACAATTAACTTTACCCCAAAAGGGGTTTTGCCCTACATCCAAATTAAATGAAAATTGGAATATATTTGTTTTGCTATTTAAGTAATTTCTTTAACCATATTTTCCTTATTTGTGTCTTTCATTTATAGTTTAGTGAATATAGAGCAAGTGTCCAACTATTAATATAATTTTGTATGTGTATCACGGAAGTTCATGTCTGTTGCTTAAGAGTAGCTAATGAAACATAGCTCTAACATTAAATGTATTTGTTTTTCTTCTTTTTTTATTTAATAAATTTCTTTATTATTGAAATGATTTTATATGTTTTTGTGATTGATATTTTATGGTTAATATTTAAATAAATATTTGTTTTTATTCCTGGTAAAACTGTACAGGGCAGAATTTTCTTTTGCATTTCCATATAAATTTTATGTGTTAGCAGATATGAAGTTTCTTTACTTGATTGTTTTAGAGTTTTACTAGTTCCCTGTATTCTTTCTACTCCTTAACCCCTCCCCATTTAGCCAACTGCTTCAGAGAAGGGTTACAGAAAAAAGGCAGAGTCTAAAAGAGTCCTTAACTTTTGAGTTTTGATATCTAAGCCCCAAAGGATAATTTTTATGCCATAAGCGAAAAAATTGGAAGAATACATATTAGCCTCTCTTTACTTTTAAAGTAAATAAATATACCTGAGCTTGGAGGGAGGGGAAGAAAGTCAGAGAGCAAACTAAACACAACAGAGAAAACCCTGAATTGACTGAAATTTCGATTCTGCCATCCAGAGAAATGGAGGCTCAAAATTATAAATAAGTTTAATTATAGGAAGTCACATATCTTGCACACTTGAGTAATTTATAGACTAAGATTTATACTTGCCGCAGGCATAATAAACACATTTTTGTTTGAAATAGAGAAGGCTGAAAATAATTTTTCTCGGTATGTAGATATGTCTTTACAAATTTGACCTGCTGGACCACTTCGGAACAGTAGAGTAACCCAAATAAGCAAAACCCAGTTAGTGCCTAGCAATACAGATTAGGCTTTTAATAAATTTTATGTTTGAAAGGTATTGCTATGACATTACTTTTCATGCGACTATTTTCAACTTTCATTTTCTGTTCTGTGTTTCGTAGGTTGAACAATGTATTCAGTATTGCCACAAAAATATGAATGCCATAGTAGCTACCCCATGCAACATGAACTGTATTAATGCAAATCTTCTTACACGTATAGCTGATTTGTTCACACACAATGAAGTTGATGAGTTAAAGGACAAAAAAGATAAATTTAGGAGGTAATTTTTAAAATTTAATTTTAAACCTAATATTCCTATTAAAAGAAATATATTTCTATTTCATTTTAGTGAAATATTGTAGAATATATTTAGAAATATATTTCTATTTTATTTTAAATGAAGTAAAATTTAACCAGAGCCAATGACTTAAGATAGAAATGAGTAATTATTTTGTGTAATGAACATATGAGCATATGGTAGTAGTGAATATTATGTTAAAAATTATTGACAGGCCTTAGTATAAAGAGAAAGAGTGGTATGAGATGAAGTCAGCAGTAGTCATATCACTAGGGGCTGTTTAGGTCATAGCAAGGAGGATATACTTTACTCTAGATATAAGTTGTAGCAGAGATAGTCTAGAGTTTAGGTCAGAGGTCAGGGCTTTAAATAGAACTTTAAGAGTAGACAAGGTTTGAAACCATCGAACTGGATGAGATTCCCTAGCAAGAGACCATAGTTAGTGTTTTTTGTGTCCTGTTCAAGAAATCTTTGCCTACCTGAAGGTGGTGAAGATACTCTCCTATGTTTTTTCATTATTCATTTTGAATTAATTTTTTTGTGTGGTATCGGGTAGGGCTCAAGGTCCATTTTTTTCCCAAATAGATATCTAATTGATACAGCATCATATATTGAAAAGACCATCCTGAATTGCAGTGGCACCTTTACTATAAATTGGGTGACTATAGGTGAGGTCTGTTTCTGAGTTCTTCATTTTGTTCTGTGGATTTGTCTGTCTTTGTATCAGCAGCACACTGTCTTAATTACAGTAGCCTAATAACTTTTTTATCTAGTAATCTAAATTCTCCAGCTTTGCCTTTCTTCAAGATTTCTGTCTTGGCCATTTTAGGTCTTTTACATTTCTGTATAGATTTTATAATCAGCTGTTCCATTTTTTCTTTCTTACACAGACACAAACCTACTGGAATTTGGGGTTAGTATTGAATCTGTAGATCAATTTAGGAAGATTTAACATCTTAATAATATTGAGTCTTTGGTCCCTGAACACACTATAACCTGCCATTTATTTGGGTCTTTTAAAATTAATTTCAGCAATGTCTTATAGTTTTCACTGTAGAGATATTTTTCTTTTTTATTTTATTAAATTTATTTCTAGGCATTTATTGGTGCTATTGTAAATGCTATTCTTATTTCATTTTCCAATTGTTAACAAGAGAGTATAGATAAAGGCTTCCCAATATTTAGAGGATCAACAGAGGAGAAATAGCCAGTGAAAGGCATGAGAACGAAGAGCCAGTGAAGTAGAAGGAAAGGTAAAAGGAAAGGTTTCAAAAGGAGGAAATGATTAAGTGACCAAATGTGTGGAATGCTGCTATCATGTAGAGTAAGATGGGGACAGAAATGTGATCAGTTGGATTTAGAAAACATTTTTTTGTTTGTTTTTTTGTCCTTTTTGAGACCGGCCACACCGCGCTCAGCCAGTGAGCACTGTGAGCGCACTGGTCATCCCTATATAGGATCCGAACCCGCGGCGGGAGCGCTGCTGCACTCCCAGCGCCGCACTCTCCCGAGTGTGCCACGGGCTCGGCCCTAGAAAACTTTTTTCCAGATGTTTTGCTCTGTGTGATTGCTGAAAAATTTTGCAGTAGCTATTAAGGATAGATAGGATCAAGAGAGGATTTTTTAAAAGAAGGTAGATACTAGATTATGTTTATATCGTGATTAGGACGATCCATTAGAGAGGAAGAAATTAATAATGCAGGGGATTATCCAAGAATTTAGTCCTTAAGGGGAATGAGGCAGAGAGGAATTAGCCAAGGGCTAAATACTTGAAAACAGGAGTGGAATCCTAAATCTAAATTTGGCCTTTAATAGCAGCAGACATTTACACAGTGAAAATGGGGACAGTCAGGACATACATTTGGAATTAATGACATACTTATAAGACTTCAAGTTCAGTTATATTATGCGTAATAATAAAGTAGTTAACATTTACTGAATGCTTAACACTATGCCTGGCACTCTTTAAAAACATTATATTATTTAACACCTGTGAAACCTGATTAGTTTGGAATTTATTAACCACATTTTGTAGATGAGAAAACAAGTTTTAGAGAGGTTAAGTTGGCAAAGATCATATACCTAGTTATTGGTAGACACAGATTGTTAAATTCTTAAAATCTTAAATTTTGAATATTCTAATAACAAAGGACTGAAAGAAAGGTAGATATCCATCAATCTTTTTTTTCTTGTGTAAATAGATTCTTGATGTTCTCATTAGTGATTTATTTACTTAGAACACCAAAAATGTATTATAAACTCCTAAAGAGAATCTAAGGATTTATTAATCTTATTTTACACATGTACAGTGTTTATTTTCATCACTATAAAGTAACTTTAGTAAATATAGAAAATTAATGTGTTGGTCATTTGTTGTTAACAGTAAACTTTTTTGTAAGAAGATTGAGAGACTGTTTGATCCTGAGTACTTGAATCCAGATTCTCGGAGTAATGCAGCAACATTATATAGGTAAGGTAATGTGTTTTTCCTTTGATGTGCTGTATGATGCAGCTATATTTTTTAATGACTACATTTTAAATTTCTTTTCGATGTTTTTTGTATCATCCTTGTGTTACAGATGCTGTTTGTGTAAGAAACTTTTAACAAAAGAAACAGAAAGAAGAATTCCTTGCATTCCTGGAAAAATTAATGTAGATCGACATGGAAATATTATCTATATACACATAAGGTGTAGTGAAGATAAAATATAGCTTTTTAATGTGAATTTCTAGTGTGTTTATAAAAGCACAATTACTTTTATAAGCATAGGATAACATCTTTTCTACATCTTTGATCCAATTTTGATTTAGAAAGATGGTACTTTCAAAACAAAGTTGTTGTAAAAGCTACATTTTATTTACTGGGTAAAATTTCATAATGTCTTTAAATTTTAAAATGATAAAAATAATTGAATATTAATCTTGAAAAATATTCTGGTCACTGCCATTAAATTTATTTTCACTAACAGATTTTAGTTTTCTATATAAATGTTATATTGAATTTTATAAGAGAATCAAATTACTTTCAGTTGAATTTTGGTGAGGAAAATTGTCTTTACAATGGGATTTTTCATAATCTATTTATTCTTCATACTTTGTTAGTATTCCATTAATACATATTTCACTAATACATAATACATATTCCTCTTTATGTTCAAAACAAGTTCTCATTCTGAGTTGGGGGAAGAGTATTGTAAATTGGTATGTCACAGGAAAACAAACTTCAAAATGTTTGTATTCTTTGGCAACATTCTACTACTAGGAATTTATCCAAAGAGATAATGTTGAATTTGTGAAAGCATTTAACAAAGACATTTATACTAAGTAGCCAAAAAAAAAGTAAATACGCAAATGATTAAACAAACTAATATATGTTCATATAATAGTATATCTATATAAAACACATCTAATCAGTTCTTAATGTGCAGCCTTTAAGAATAATGTAAAAGAATGCATACTTATATAGAAAGTTGTTAGTGGTAAATTAAGTGAAAAAAATAGGATATAAAACAAAACTAGACACACATTCACTAAATGTTAATTTTCAGTGATAGTATTATGGACGGTTTTAATTTTCTTTTTTACTTGTTCTTTTTTCTATATTAAAGAAAAAACCTACAATGTTATATTTCATATTTTAAACATTAAAACAAATACAGGGCAACACTTAATTTTATTCTAGTAATAATAACACAATCAACTTTAAAATGATTTATTTTCCTCTCAGTACAATAATCTGGGAATCTTCATTGGTTGTTTTAAGCATCTGGAATTTTATACTTTTTTTGTCTTTGAGATTTGATTCACTTTTTGAAAATTACTTCCTTCCTGACAATAACAGCTATTAATAGTAGTATGTGAAAAAAGTAATTGATGTTAACTTCAACACTGATTTTTGTTGTTTTATTCAAAATATTTTCTTATAAGTCAACAATCAGTGCACACATTTTATCCTTTTTTTTGGTGGCTGGCCAGTATAGATGCACACATTTTAAAAATTGTCTTTAAATAACTTTTAAGACAGATGTGCCTATGTAATTTGTAATAAAATGATGGCATTTTTGTTATTTGTTGAATTAAGCACAAAAATAGCAAAAAGTTAGAAAAAATTAAAATAGTAACTTAAAAAGAAAAGGAACTTGAGTTACACGTGACCATAGCAAATATGGCTTAAGCCTTTGCTATTTTTAAACTGTGTATTATTTAATCTAAAAATGTGTATTACTACAACCTGATGGTATATTCTATACTACTCAATTATTAGAAAATTCTGTTTGAAAATAATGTAAGAAACTAATACATTAATGAAATGTTTAAAATCACCAATAATTAATAACAACTTGTCTTACAACATATAAACAGTTAGAATAAAGATTCCATTTAACAATACATGCCTAAGTTCCAAGTGTTGGCATACTCAAACTATATTTAATTTATAATCCTTTATCTAGCTTGGCAAAATAATTTAGCATTCAACATTTCATATGTCTTTCTGTTATCCACAGAATAAACAAACTCCCAAATGAAATTTTATCTACCTTTCATGCCATATCCATCATTTGAGGAACATTCTTGGGAATAAACCACAAATTTAAAAACATCTGTTTAAAGCACATTGTCTATATTGCTTGCTTGAAAAATAATATAACAACTCTTTCCCCAGAGATAAAACTTGGGATGTTCATGAGTATTTGAACAGTCTTTTTGAAGAATTAAAATCTTGGAGGGATGTATATTGGCGTTTGTGGGGAACGATCAACTGGCTGACTTGTTCAAGATGTTATCAGGTGAATTTTGTTTTTTAAATTTCCTTCTCTGCAAACATTGAGAGCAACATTCTTTTGACCTCTGCTATTTAATTAGTGTGTTTGGATGTGTTTGTACAATATCTAACATCTTTTTAAAGAAAATGGTGGCAAAAGCAATGGTACTGTTACTGTTAAACTTTGCTTGCAGCTGGCTTCATTTCTCTTGCCATGTTTCTTCTTCCTCTTTTTTGTTTTGATTCCTGAAACAATCAATGCCTTGCTGAATTTTTAGGAAAGCAACAGGTTTTAAGTGATGAAATTCATTTTTTCAATGGAAAACAAGTACAGAATCTTTATTTGCTTTATTTGCATCCAAACTGTTTCTCTGTTGGCCCATCCATCTCTACAGAAATTCAGAAGCACCTTTGCAGATAGGATGTTATTGGTTTGTGCACTTTTTGTTATAACAGTTGTGTTCCCAAAAAGCTTTTGTTCATTTTTATAAATGAAGACTATGATAAAAGTATAAGAAAGCTTACTATTTTAACAGTAAATCCTTTTATGGAATCAATGCATCTTTATAAATCATAGTCATTCCAAATTAATCTTATGTATGTTTTCTATGTACAATTCTAGAGTTTTCTACCTTCAGTTTTTTATGAATTCTCATGGAAGTAGACAGTAAAATAGAAGGGGGGGAGGGGAGGTGGATACAAAATAGTACAGAGAGGAAGAATGGGATTTATTGTTCTATAGTAATACAGGGAGACTCTAGTTAATAAAGTGCTGTATATCTTTGAATAGCTAGTCAAGATGATGTTGAATGTCTCTAACACAAAGAAGTGACAAATGTTTGAGGTGATGTATATATGAAGCACCCTGATATGATCACTACACACAGTATGAATATATCCAAATATCATATTGTGCTTCTTAAATGTATATAATTATCATGGGTCAGTTAAGAAAAATATATTAAAAAGAGAGGGAAAAAAGAGAAATAGAGAGTAGAATAATGGTTACCAGAGGCAGGGAAAAGGAAGTGTGCAAAGGAGGACTGGGGAAAGTTTGGAAGGCTGATACAAAGTTATAAAATTATAGATAGAAGAATAAGTTCTGGTGCCTTTAGGGTGACAATAGCTAATAATATTGTATATTTCAAGATAGCCAGAAAAGAGGATCTTGAATGTCATAACCACAAAGAAATGATAAATGTTGAGGTGATAGATACGGTAACTATTACGATTAGATCATTATACAATATATACATGTATTGAAACAACAAATTGTACCCCATAAACATGCCAGTGAAAAAAATAAATTTTTAAAAAAACTTTATTGCTAAGTAATAGTTCACTGTATGAATATATCATGGTATGTTTATCCAGTCACCAGCTGAAGAACATTTGTAGTGGGGCCTTTATGAAGAAAGCTGCTATAAACATTTCCATACAGGTTTTTATGTGAACATGGGTTTTATTTCTCTTGGGTAATTACCTAGTAATAAGATTGCTACGTTGCACAGTAAAGTTTAACATTTACCATTCCTGA